GCAGGTTTTCTTACCACTGCTGTAATCTCTTTTCTTGTTTCTTTTCTCGTTCTTTTTGTTTCTTTTGCTGTTCTTATATTGCTGCCATCAAATCCGATAAGCTTCAGTTTGATTTGCCACCTCTCGTTTCCATTTTCTATTTTTCTATGCCCCGCTTCTGACACCAATTTGTTACGTCTCTGGTCGTTAGTTATATTCCAGTATAATTTCTTCCCGAGAAACTTCAGCAATACAAGTCCTTTCTTAAATAATACTAGTTTATTCTTTCTCAATTCAACTTTGCAATGGACTTAATCTCCACAGCCAATTTAACTTAAATAATTCACAGGAAACGATTCACGCACTTACTTACGGTCACCACCGTGCTTGACTCAATTGTCCGTCTTTATCTCTGCCTGTCTACAATTCAATTCCGATTAATTTGTCTCACGTTATCCGGCGCACTTATATACAGGAATAGAAGGTGCCTAGCACATACTGGATTATTCATGATGTTCCCCGATCCTTTTAGAATATCATGACGTGTTACCAGCGTACGTGACTACCGCTGTCGTAATACTATCCTCTGATAGTGTCCATTGCATGTTTGTTTTGTTTTCCTTTGTTTTTATATATTCACATTTATAACTATCCTCTGACAGTGCCCATTGCATGTTTGATTTGTTTTCCTTTGTTTTATATATTCATATTTATAACTATTCTCTGATAGTGCCCATTGCATGTTTGTTTTGTTTTCCTTTGTTTTTTCTATACTCACATTTATAACTATACTCTGATAGTGCCCATTGCATGTCTCTTTTGTTTTCCTTTGTTTTTTATATATTCACATTTATAACTCTCCTATGATAGTGCCCCATTGGATATTTGTTTTCTATATTAACATTTATAACTATCCTCTCCTAGTGCCCATTGTATGTTTCTTTTGTTTTTTATAAATTCACATTTATAACTATCATCTTATAGTGCCCATTGCACGTTTGTTTTGTTTTCCTTTGTTTTTAGATATTCACATTTATAACTATCCTATGATAGTGCCAATAGCATGTTTGTTTTGTTTTCCTTTGTTTTCTATATTAACATTTAAAACTATCCTCTGCTAGTGCCCATTGCATGTTTGTTTTGTTTTCCTTTGTTTTTTCTATATTCAAATTATAACTATCCACTGATAGTGCCCATTGTTTATTTGTTTTTCTATATTAACATTTATAACTATCCTCTGCTAGTTCCCATTGTATGTTTCTTTTGTTTTCCTATGTTTTTTTATAAATTCACATTTATAACTATCCCCTGATAGTGCCCATTGCATGTTTGTTTTGTTTTCCTTTGTTTTTCTATACTCACAATTATAATTATCCTCTGATAGTGCCCATTGGATGTTTCTTTTGTTTTCCTTTGTTTCTTCTATATTCACAATTATAACTATCCTTTGTTAGTGCCCATTGCATGTTTCTTTGTTTTCCTTTGCTTCTTATATATTGACAATTATAAATATCCCTGATAGTGCCCATTGCATGTTTCTTTTGTTTTCCTTTGTTTTATATATTCACATTTATAACTATCCTCTGATAGTGCCCATTGCATGTTTCCTTTGTTTTCCTTTATTTTTTCTATATTCACAATTATAACTATCCTTTGCTAGTGCTCATTGCATGTTTCTTTTGTTTCTTGTATATTGACAATTATAACTATCCTCTGGTAGTGCCCATTGCATGTTTCCTTTGTTTTTATATATTCACATTTATAACTATCCTCTGATAGTGCCCATTGCATGTTTCTTTTGTTTTCCTTTGTTTCTTATATATTCACATTTATAACTATCCTCTGATAGTGCCCATTGCATGCTTGTGTTTGGATATCTGTGCAAAATTTCTCAAAAGCTCTATGTGCTATTTGTCCATAATTTTAAATTGGTAAACTAGAGGAAGGCAGAAAGTTAAAAGAATAAGAAGGCAATTCATGGGTTTATCATTCCTGACGAAATATGGGGTTTGATTATCACCCTTATAATGTCCCCATTTTGTAGAATTTGATTTATTATGTGTTTATTTTTTGTGATAACAGAGTATGAATGACAGACATATATCCCTAGTCTAACAGGCTAACCATTGCCATGCTTACCCTTATGAAAGTCAACAGAGAATTTTCAAGTAAGTTAGAGGTGAAGTCATAACATAATTAAAATTCATGTTAAATGTAAAACTGCAGAAATAAAACAGACGATTTCTCTCTCATTTTAGTTAAACATATGTACAGTTTTATGTAAAATCTTCAGATTAATATAGTGTGCAGTTGATCGCTTACTTTCATTCTAATAAAAGCTAACATAGTGATATTTCATTTTCATTGACCAAACCTAGACTCTATCCATTCACATGTCTTACATCTAGTTCTGTTTTTCGAACGTTTCTCATTCTTAGATTCTGTGAATCCATTTGAATTTCAAGAATCCAATGTAAATCAAGATAAACATCAACGAGAAACTAAAGACATCCGAACAGTCTCAAGCTCACGAACATCGTATAGGTTTTACTAATCTAAATATTTTCGAACATTATTTGTAAGAACCTTTTAAATCTATTTTTTGTATTTTCAAATCATTAGTTATCATATAACCCAAATCTATTCCTCAGCTGCAAAGACTGACCACACTTCTTGACAATTTCTAATGGTTACTTATTACCTTTCTTAGTTTTGCTAGTGCAAGTTCTATTTTTTCAAACATAATAACACTCTAAGTGTAAAAGACTCTTTATATCATTCAACAAATTTGTTCCACAGTGTCTGACAGTTACCAGAAAAATTGTCGATTACAGAGATGTACGGACAACTGAAACAACATTCTCATCCTTCATTTCTTTTTTTCATTCTCAAACATAAAACTTACCAGTTTGTCATTTATATACCAGCTGAGCGTGGCTGCTGGTTTCGACTTGGCTGAGGTACAGTTGACTGTTACCGTATCCCCTATTTGATACTTCATGTATCTTCCTGTAATTTTTGGACCTTCCGTTGGCAACACTAGCGAATGGGGCAATAAAACTGTATATTGTAGTTATACAGAAACAAGGCATGTTTAAATCACCTAAGATAAAGTTTTTATTCGATCTTGAGGTGGCTGAGACTAATTCACTAACAGCTTGAAACATTTAAAGTTAATAATGTGTAACTTTTTTGACAGTAATTAATAATTACTTCTTGCTTAGAGTAACTAAGATATCATTTTAAATTAGACTAACTAAGAGCTAAAAGGTTTAAATCTAATAAAATATAAAAATGTTATAAAACAGAATCTCTGTTTGAAAAAACATGTTCAACTGATGATGTATGACAGAAATACAAGGAAGTGGATGAGCACGTCGTGTAATCAACAGTTTAATAGGCACATTCTCTATTTTTGAACTATATTTTCATTTATTTAAGATACAATATTTTGTTTTTAGTGCCTATTTTTTTTTCGTATTATACAGTATCTAACCTCTACTGGTTTATGGACAGAGGTTAATGTCTGCTTTTGTTTACTGTAATTAAGGTCTAGTATCCTTACACTGATTAAGATGTTTTACAACAGATAAAACCTGGCTAATACAGAATTAGAATGTTTGTTTGTAAAAATAAAAATCTAATTTGTTTGAGTGTAGGGAGTGAAACGTTCTTTATGGTTAGGGTGAATGATACATTTCTAATAACTATAGTTAATGTATAGGGAGTGAAACGTTCTTTATGGATATAGCGGATGATATATTTTTAATAACTGTAGTTGATGCCTAGGGAGTGAAACGTTCTTTATGGTTAGGGAGAATGATACATTTCGAATAACTATAGTTAATGTATAGGGAGTGAAACGTTCTATATGGTTAGAGTGGATGATATATTTTTAATTACTGTAGTTGATGTCTAGGGAGTGAAACGTTCTATCTGGATAGAGTGGATGATATATTTATAATAACTGTAGTTCATGCCTAGGGAGTGAATCGTTCCTTATGGTTAGAGTGGATGATATATTTTTAATAACTATAGTTGATGCCTAGGGATTGAAACGTTCTATATGGATAGAGTGGATGATATATTTCTAATAACTATAGTTGATGGCTAAGGAGTGAAACGTTCTTTATGGTTAGAGTGGATGATATATTTCTAATAACTGTAGTTGATGCCTAGGGAGTGAAACGTTCAAATATATCATCCACTCTATCCATATAATCAACTATAGTTATTAGAAATATATCATCCACTTAACCATAAAGAACGTTTCACTCCCTCGGCTTAATTACTGTAGTTGATGTCTAGGGAGTGAAACGTTCTATCTGGATAGAGTGGATGATATATTTATAATAACTGTAGTTCATGCCTAGGGAGTGAATCGTT